ACTTCAGATTTGTATCCCTATCACGTCATATGTCAATGTCACCCCTCCCGTGCCGCTTCCATACCTCAGGCACTTACTAGGTTAAGTCTAGTATTATATTATCTGTGGTTAAGTGCTAGAGCTATCATACCAATTTTTATGTTGACTATGAAACAAAGGTGGTTTGTATTGATGAGTCCATAAAAGTAGCCTACAATTAAATCTACAATCTGTGAATGTCGTCCGTGAACTTAAGAACTGGTCGAGAATTCAGCTCTTCAGTTTATTATAACGATGACAGGTTAAAATCTACACTTATATGTAAAAGTAACACTGTTTGTCTGTCTGTTAACTTTCGCGCCTAGTTGAAAAATGTTCAATGAATTTCGGCATAGAGATCGGCGAAAATTTTATAGAACGACTAGCTTTTGCCCGCGGCTTCGCCCGCGTGGAATTTTGTCTGTCACAGAAAAACTTTATCGCGCGCGTCCCTGTTTCAAAAACCGGGATAAAAACTATCCTATGTTCTTTCCCGGGACTCAAACTATCTCTATGCCAAATTTCATCAAAATCGGTTGCGAGGTTTAAGCGGGAAAGCGTAACAGACAGACAGACAGACAGACAGACTGAGTTACTTTCGCATTTATAATATTAGTTGGGATGGGATTAGTTGGGATTGGGATAGTTGGGATTAGTTGGGATTTTTGTGGTGTAATAATTTTTTGCACGCCATCTGCTTGGCAAATTGTAGCTGAACAATTTTGCGTTTTTTAAGACCCATCAATGTATGATATATACCTACAATCGCAATAAACTAATTTGATTTGATTTGAATAATAATAATACATCAATTTTGGATTTAAAGTCAAAGTCAAAGCTTGTTCAGTACTTATGCCCTTTCCAGGGCGCTTATACATGTCCCAAATATAGCTTGCCCTACCACCACTTCGGGACAACATATTATTATGGGCTGGTGCTGAGAAGAAGTGGCGGTAGAAACTCAGTCACCTTTTTCAGTCTCAGTATTTTTTATTACTGATAAACTAACAACATTATATTTTTTTTCTTTTACCTGTATTTTTGATTGCTGACAAACTAGCAAACATCTCTACAGAGTTTTCGTGTCAGACCGAAATCGAGAATATATTATACGAGTGAAGTCATGGGCAAAAGCTAGTATGTTATAGTATAAGTTGTCGGCCATGAACTTATAAACTCGTCCGAAAATCTGCTTTTGGTCATTATGTTATTACTGTGTTAACAGGTCATTGTTTTTATAATATAATTTTAACCTTTAGGTATATTCTTCAATTCTTCCTACATCTTGTGGGCTGTTACTATGAGGTCATAACCATGGTGTCAGAAAAAATGGTCATGGTATCAGGTGTTTTTAAAAGAGTCTAAATTAAATAATTAAGGTTTGTTGCGGCGCTTCTTCTCAGTACTTGCCAAATTTTTGTCTCGAAGCGCTGCGTAGGGCAATAAAATAATGAGATATGTTAAGGTTCCTTATTATAAGAGCATTTGACGATTTGTAAGAACTAACTAATTTAATTATGTAGTTGCCTTCTGAAGGACGGAATCGTAAGTATCTTTTTTCAGACAATAACTCGTAGTTCACAATTTAATATTCCTGTGAGATCGATTTTCTCCTCTGAAATTGATTTGTAAAGCGAAATTTAGTTTTAGGCTTACTCATAAGGTTGTATTTTCAAAGACAAAGCACGAAGGCTTAATACCTGGTACCTATAGGTACCTACGTGTCCTTCTCTGCGACCTTACTTTCTAGAACTGGTCCTATTCTTCCTGTATCACAAGAATTACACAGTAAATATTATAATACAAACGTTAATAAATGGGTAATTTGTATGGCATGTCCAATACATGTCTTGGCCAATTACTTGTCATTAACAAAATGGTAATAGACTTACATAATCTGTATGCCAATTTCATTATTGCAAACTATACATAATAGCTATTAATTTCTAGTTCGATCATGTTGCGATAGTTTTGGACTAAGCTACAAAACAAAAAAGTGTCTTATTAAAAAAATATGGTAACTAGGCACAGACAAAAACAACAAGGCCTATTTTTTCGTCATTTCTTGCATCATAAACGTTTTAAAAATGGAATATAAGACTGGCTGGATATAGATTTACACCATATTAATTGTGATAAAGAATGTTGCCGGCTGCACTGGGATGAATAAGGATAGACGAATCCAACTCGCGAGGCTTGACAGGAATATGCTGGTTAAGGTGGCCCTTTTCAAGGTTTTGGAGCTTGCGGGTGACGAGCCATTTGACGTAGAGAGGGATTATTAATTATACGTATATTTTCTACTTTGTCGAAGATAGGCACAAAATATATGAATTTGGTCTTATTCAATGCAGGATTAAATGCCCTTCAATCATCATGAAGATCAGTTTTATTATTATTTCCGATAATAACCTTTTGTACGAATTATTTCCGATTTGATTGATTTTCATGTCTTATTCTACTGGCCTAGTTTGCATTACTGCTTTGGTTTATATGACTTTATGTAAGTAAATTTTTATTTTTTAATGTTTATGTTAGTTTTATAAAAATATGCAAGATTTTCCTATTCTTTGTTTCATTTTTAAATGAATCCGATACTTCGTGCTGTACTAGATAGTGGCAGAAGTCTGTTGGTGATGATGATGGTACGGTACCTTCATTCTATTTCGTAAGGTAGACAGTAAAAAAATCCAAATTGCGGTTTTGTGGGGGGCCCGAAACGAGCTGTGCCTAGGGGCCCCGAGATGGTTAATCCGGCCCTGCCTATTACCCAAATTAATGGTGTTCACAAAACCCGTAATTCCGTGAGAATTAAGAAAGAAAGTGGAAGATATTTAAAATTAAACGAACGAAAGTACAAACATGGCCGACGCGTTGAATAATCAATTTTTTAATGTACTTGACATTCGTGAGACCGATAAACTCAATCAAATGTAGCGTTTAATACAATGAAATAAAGTTCATGTCATTTGAATGCAAAATTATTCCAAACCGATCGCGGTGAAATGTTCTTGATTCTGATTTTGTCTTGTTTTAAATTTCGACCGCGTTTGAACGTGTGATTCTATTTTCAAATTCAAATCGAACTTTCTTTTGTCACATCCTCACTCTACTTTTATTTTGTTTTTAGGTTTTAAATTCTACCTGCGTACTTTATCCGAGGCGCAGACCACCGATTTTTAGTTGGTCGGGCTGTTAGTCAGTATGGGCATGACAAGTGCGCAAATTACACCGATTTGGTATCGGTTTATTCTTCATACAAATAAGAATCGGGCCCAACTATCGGTCGACTAAAAGTCGGTGGTCTGCGCACTGCGCCTAGGTTACAGTGTGATACAGATGCATGTTTTGTAACAAATAAACCTTTACTTTGCCTACTTCTAATACTAGAGATTTAATCTCACGTCATCAATTTTCCCACATTTTCATCTTCCCTGTCCATTTTAATCTGGAATCTATCAAATCAAATCAAAATATTTATTAGTATGTAGGCCCTTTTTATTTAGGGTACATACCTAAATATGTCCCAAATAAGTAGGATCTTACCTAATACTACAGCTTGGTAGTACTCTAGTAACTAGTAAACTTAATTCATTCACATTTTTAACGACCTACGTAATTTTCTAAAAATAGCAAATAACCACAACATCGAGAAAAAGATATCATACCCATATTATAATAGCGTTATTACATTTTAATAACCCCAAAAATTGCGTGAATGTGTAAAATTGTAAATAATTCATTTGAAGTAGCGAATATAATTTAGTTCATAATTGAATACCACCGTGCCGATGTTAGAAAGCATTTGAGGCAATCGGTAAGCACATTACTTACACAAAAGCGTTTTTGCAATCGCTACCGTTATAGCAGCTATAGTAAACCTTATTTGGAATGACATAAGGTGCAAATGATAAGAAGGCAGCAAGTTCAAAATTGACGTGTTTACCCAAGATGGCGATTTTGAATGACAACATCCGAGTAACAATTGCCAGTTCGCGGTTGTTACACCGTGAATACACAAAGAATTAACACATTTGCCGTGTGAATAAAAAATTTGATGGAATGTGAAATTCTTTTTTTAAAACTTTCACTTGATGTCGCTTTCTGAGGTCGCGGCGTTGGCCTTCCGCGAGAATTTAAAAATCGGTTTTCTTTTTTTATTGTCAATAGATTTTCGGCCAGTGGTGTTTGATGATGGAATTCTTTATCTGTGAATCATACTTGTTTATCTATTTCACGTCTCCAAAAAGGTTGTATTTTATGATTTGTGACTCATCTTACTAATTCGTGTTTTAAATAAAATATTCTATGATTTTGTAAACCTAATTAATTATGAGAATAAAAAATAAATTCACAAGGTGTCTTCAGCTTGTTTTGTTTCAATTTTTTCGCAATCAAGCAAGCGAAGGCATCACTTTACTCTTACGATCAATACAAGCATTATATTCAAATCAGTACAGCCTGTTCCCATGGTATTGTTTGTATGGGATGCCTGACCTAGTAGCTATTGTATGGGTGACCTTGCAGCGTTATAAATGACGGGTAGTGTTGGGATTGTATGAAATAGGTCTTTAATGATACATGATTGTAGCCGTGAAAATGTAAGACGTTGAGTTATTTCAATTTGAATGCCGGATATTGCTGAATACCAAGTAAGCCATGATGTCTATGGGCCAATGTAGGTCCCCCTATTGGGTAATCGTTAGAACATAAATTTATAGATACTTTATTAAATTAAACCTTTAAGACATTTTACACAGCGCCATTTAGTACCAGTTTTCCCCCTTGAAATGGGGTCTCGGACCCGTTCGTCCCGTATTTTTTTTATGCAAAACAAGGAAGGTATTAGACCGCAATCGCACCTGGTGTAAGTGAGATGCTGTCAAGGATGGTACATATCTGCCCTGTTTTGCCTCTCATACTTTAAATGAACCTATTCGCAAGGTATTTTTAGGCAAAGGGGCGAAAGATACGGGGCCAATATGCCTAGCTTATATTTCGTAGGGGAGAGCGGGGCTGAAAGTGCCGGTAACCGGTGTTTTTTGTATGGAGTTTGACAGATTTTTGACGTTTGTAAAAGTTAAAGTAAGATGGTGCAACCCAGCCTAAATGAACCAATTCGCATGGTATTTTTAGGCAAAAGGGCTAAAGATACGGGGCAAATAATCCCTAGCTTCTTCTTATTCGTTACGCTCTTGGCAGAGCGGTCGTGGTCACGTTTTGAGGCGTTGTTCACATCGGTTGTAGAGGCGGATACAACTCTCCGCACGATCTCCCGCCATCTCTCTCTATTGGCAGACTGTCTGGTGCAATCCCTAGCTTATTATTATGTTTTGACCTCCTGGCTGTTCCTAGCTCAAAAGCTGGATCTTTGCCCCCCCGGACCAAACTACCCCCTGGCTCTAAAAACGGGTACGCCCATAATAAATCTCTGATATATTCACTGCGTTACAGCGATTACAAAACGTCAAGCACGAGTGGCTAATCGGAAGCGTTTTGTTTCCTATACAACCCGATAATAAGTATTATTACAGCCGATTACAGCATCGTGCTGTAATTCCATGGACGAGAAAGGTTTGAACGTCGTAAAGCGTGTCAATAAGGCTTATTGTGGTGTGGTCACTGGTTCGATTCCCGGTGAGGTCAAGCCAATCGATATTTTCTTAAGTTGTAGAATTTTTAGCTATTTCCAAAAGATAGAAATATTGAAAAATGCATTCAATAAACTCTACATTTACTTATTTTCGAAAACACTCGTGTAAGAATCAACCAAGATACATTGAATCCTGGCTTGTACCTCCCTATTTATTTATCAATTTTCAATAAAAGTTGGCCCTATTATCAACTTTCTATTTACTTGATGTTGTAACTTAAAACAAAATCTACTTCTTCTTCTTCTTTTGGGTGATGGCGATGAACTTGCGTTTTTCGCCACTGAGAGCACAAACTAAATCTAAATTCTTTCGTTAATTTAATGTCAATTGGAGGTTATGATGTCGTTATACACAATACTTATAAATATGAAAATTTATATCGAGCACGTGGTCGTGCCAAGCTTTGTCTTTTGCAACCTCAACGTGACCTCATACTATGAGTCACAAGTCAACCAAATCCTATTTGACTATAATAAAGGATCCAGTCCAAACGACCTCTTATACTATAAGGTGAATGATGGAATTACTATAAATCAATCAACATCGGTCATTTAGTTTGGATTAGCAAAGGAATTAATCCAAGAAAACAGAAAGTTTAGTTTCCAAAACTGATTTTAATGGAACCACAATATAACTGCTCTATCAAATTAGCTTACCTACCTACAATTTTAACGCCGGTATTCACAAACAATGCTTGTTTGAGTGAAGTAGAAAATCGAACGCACAGCGTTGTATAGAGTTCAGTGAATGGTTCGTGTGTCACCCTGTGTGTCCACGCGCACTGTGAGACCTCATAGTAATGTTTGTAAATGCGGGAGTCAAGCTCTATTTGCCCTACACTATGTTATATCATCAACGTAGAAATCATCGATCAACGTGGAAAGCATTAGGGGAGGCCTATGTTCAGCAGTGGACGTCCTATGGCTGAAATGATGATGATGTTATTTCATGGTGTAAAGTGCCTCATTATTTCAAAAGGAAATCATTCTTATTATTGAAACATGTATTTAACAAATTATGACTACTCAAAGATTTAACATCGTGACTGCGTGTAATTATTCTTTTTCTATTATCCCTTATCATTATTTTTACACAATAAATTGGTGGAATGGTTTGAACAGGTTTTCATAGTCCAAAAAATCTGCAACTTAGCATAAAAATGCCTAGCTTAGTTATTTTGGTGTAAAAAAGAGGTCTAGTCACGATTCCCAATAATAAATGGACTTTGGAATCTCATTATTATAAAAAAAAGTTGCGTTTTTGTCAATTAATACTCGAATAGTAATATTCCGAAACCATAGACAAACATGTCCATTAATTTGTTAGCATAGTTTTATTATTTTGATTCCTTTTTTGTATTCATTGATTTTATTATTGATGCGTTTATAAGAAACAGGAAAAAAACAGCATCGTGCTCCTTTTTAGCATTTTTATAGTTTCTAGCTTTTTCATTCCTTTTTTGTTACCATGTAAACCGGCCATTAATGGGTACTTTATAAAATATAGATTTAAGATGTATTATTATTGACATCCGCATGGGTTACTTAGTGGTGTGCTATTAGGTCTAGCTAGAGCTTAACTGTGTCAGTGTCTGAGGCATTGGAGCGGCACGGGAGGGTGTTTTTGAAACGTCAAACGTCAGATCTTCTTCAGATTTATATGCTCTGTCACTTCTATGTCAATGTCACCCCTCCCGTGCCGCTGCCATACGTCAGGCACTGACTGAGCGCTTGACCTATTTATAGTAAACATAACAACGATACGTCTACGAAATAAACTGCAACGCCCAATGAGACATCTGGCGGATTTTTCAATCGCGAAAACCCTCATTGAGAATTATCAAACCTTGACAATCAAAAACACCTTTAAAACAAGTCATTAATGGCTGAATAGAAACGACTATACGACCTTGTAAACAGCCTACTTATTAATTCGAATGACAAATCACACGTATCCTACTTTCACACAAAAATCGTTGATATTATCAGATGACAAGCTGAAATCGACTTGAGGTCGTGTCTCAATCTTGGTTTTGTGCCACAGTATAAGTAAGAAGTAGTATGTCTACGTGAGATTGATAATGTTGCGTTGATTTGTTGGAAATGCATGGAATTGAAAGTCATTTGATTGCAATAGAGTACCGAACTTAAATACCAGCTGAGAATGTAGGTTTGCATCCTACGAGGGACAAAATTAGTAGTAAGTGGAGAACTTGAGCATTTATGCCTAAGAAGTGGACTCGTAAACGACTTTTTATGCAGAACAAGGCAAGTATTTGAACGCAATCGCACCTGATATTGCTATGCAGTCTAGGATGAACTATGATTGTTATGTATATTCATGTATGTTTATTGTAGCTGTAATAAGTATAATTTTGAAACAAAAATGCATAGTCTGAATGACATGCAGACGTAATCTTTCCTTAATTACACTGCTTGGTTTTAATGAATGTATTTATAAGCGCGAATTATAACTTACGAGTAATTAATATTTATTGCGATATAGAGGCTACTTATCTAGCTGTTAAAGAAGTTGTGCGTTATAAAGGCTGTTTATTTCTCTGTTATAGAACTACTGTATCTTTTACACTGTAGCCAGGTTTTACAATCGAAACTAGAAAACCTATCGGACCGGTCTGTGTCCAGTTTACACAATGTATTGTCAATTTTGTAATGTCAACTCGACTGTTAATTGACTGTAGATAGTAGATTTATTTATGACCACTTTGTGACTTTAGTGGGTCAAAGTGCAACACACATCAATGTCACTGAAAGTTTTAGACGCTAAATTACTTTTTATCTTGATAACATCTTTACATATTTTTTTATATGTTTTTATAAGTATTATTATTAGCAATGCCTTGCTTACTGGATCAAAGACCTCAAGAAAATATCACTACCTAAATTGACCCCACTGGTAATTGAACTTCTGACTCTTTGCACTTCTTAGAGCTACTCAACGTCCCACTCGCTCATTGGCCATTTGAGTTTTGAGTTCTAGTCCTAAAGATCTTTACCTACCCTGAGTAACTACTCAGGGTTCCAAGTATCGGTATTAGAATCTCTACCGGGAGTTGAACTCCCAACTCTTATCTCTTAAACTATCACCTATCACACCGCCACTCGGTCATTGGGCGTCAAACATAGCTGTCTATTTTGAACTGTGAACTTTATTCTCCACACCTTAAGGTTTAGATTGTCCAGATAATGCATTAAAATCATTAAATACCAACATGCAGATAACCAATGTCCAACGTTTGCACAACTTTCTAACAGGAATGATGATAGCTATTACGAAAGGCGCAAGGTTCAATGTCGAAACGCATCTCGGTGTGCAAACATTCGCCATTTGCTCGTGAGAAGCTTGCGAAACTGCTACTGGTCAGAGATGAGGATATATTATAAGTGTGTTATTATTATAAATGCAAAAGTTTGTTTGTCTGTTAATTAATCACTACTGAATCAATTTCGATGAATTTTGGTATAGAGATATTTGACTACGGAGAAGAACAATGGAACTTTTGCCGCGAAAATAAATGAGGTCTATCGTTTTAGCGCTCACCAGTTAGCGCCACTGTAGAGTAAGGTCCTGTCACTTGCTAGTAGCGAAGACAGTGGCACCAACTGGTGAGCGCTAAAGTGGTAGGAGGATTATCGCATTTGCACTCATCAAGATGGCGCCACTGTAGAGTAAGGTCCTGTCAATCGCCAGGGGTGCCAACTGTTAAGTATAAAAACGATAGCCCTCATTCTGAAACATGCAGACAAATAAGTAAGTAGGTGTTAAAAGATTGAATGGGACATCATTCAAGGATGTTATAATACTGTTCCACTGTATGTACTTTTGCATGTTATGAAAAGTCGTCATCAAGCTTTTGCTTAGAATAACTAATTACTGTTATGAATAAAAAGTAAAAAAAATTTAAAACTATTAAGAAAACCTTTTTAGCATACATTAATTTCATCTTTGGCCTTTACCGCACATCTGCTTCAGTCGCTCGCCTGTAAGCAACTTAATAAAATGTTGATAAATCAGTGTCCATAACTTAGTGAGAAATATCTCAGTACAGCTTGTCTAGAAAATACATAATCATGTTGACTTTTGTCTTTTAAACTCTACTTACCGCTAAGTTTGCCGTGACTTTGGACATTGAATCTTCTTGCTATAGACATAACGCTTACTCGATATTACTACAAAATGTACCGCAACCTTGCAACTCGTCTATTAACTTTAAATTGGGTTAATCGGTGACCATTATATTAACGACGCGAGTGCAAGGTCATTTTAATCGATACAGATAATAATTACTTAATTATTTGATATTTATTATGAAAGTAAAAGTTTAATTGATATTTTTAACTGTTTAACGAGAGT